CATTTAGCTCAGCCTCACACGGTTTTAACGTGCGTCTACCTTGTAAATGATCTTAGTCATTCAGAAGACATACACATTCACATTTGGTTCTGGACGTGTCATATTCGAAATACAGAGGTCTGTTTACACACTGCCCCTGTTGCACACTGCCCCACCCTCCCTTACCCGACATGATTTTAATAATGCTGGTTGGATTAAAATTGAACTCCAACAACGGCCGCCGTTGTCGCCCACTAGAGTCTAAGCCAGACGACTTGTCTCTTCTCGCAGGCGGCGCGGAGCCGGCGCCTACAGGCGGCCTCTACTTCCCGCTGCGGTCCGTCGAGCTCAAGCTGCGGGTGGACAGCAAGTCCGGCAACCTGCTGGCGCCGCCGGGGGGGCTGCTGCTCGCGCCTCTGCTGCAGGCCGACGACGCCCAGGGCGCGGACGCCGCCGCAACCGTGGCGCCCGGCGCCGTCACCTACCGCCTCACGGACCCGGCCTCGCCCGGCCAGGCGCCCAACCTGCCCTGGCTCTCCGTCGACACCAAGACGGGCGTGCTCAGGGTCAAGGAGCAGCGTGAGTATGCTGTGGACCCCCGGGCCACCTGTAGGAATTTTTAAGTCCAAAACTTTTCCGGAAAAAATGGAAACATCCCCAGAAGGTGGGGGTGCGACCTAGCTTAGGCCCCCCCGCCGCGCAACCTGTAGGGGGGTTGTCCCTATATAATGGGCTTGTCAACGACGTCAACGCCGTCCTCCGACATGTTGCAGATGCCCGATGACGTTCGCCGGCCAGCGAGCCTGAGGAGGACGACGATGCCGATGCCGATGGCCGTGTCGGCCACCACGGCGACGTGCCTGCTGCTCGCCGTCCTGGGCCAGGCCGCGGTCGCCGTGGCGGGTGAGTCCAGCTCCAGAGTGCGCCCCGGCGCCCTCCAGTGCCACCAGCCCGGCTCGACGGCCAGGCTAGCCCGGTCCCGGGCGTATCGACCAGACCAGCTCGGGCGCCACATCCTCTGGCCCGTCCGAGACACACAGGGGAGCGCCCCCGCCCCGCGCCCCTCCTCAAGGCCCCACTGCGCTGCGGGTTGGGGCTCCCTGTGCACGTCTGTAGTGAACGCCCCTCCCCCCCCCCCAACAAAAAGCGCGACCTTTCAATCGCCATTCTCCTACTCGT